GGTACTGAGGCTGTGTCCCAAAGGAGAGGAAGGAGGGTAAGGGGAGGCAGGAGACAGGTGGAGGAACACGCAGGAAGGTGGGGAGCAAGAGGAGCTGCCCCGTGGAGTGGAGGGCGGCCTTGGTGTGGGGGAGGACAGGGGCAGGGGGGAGGTTGGGCAGCGGGCCAAGGTGGGTCATGAGAGGCTGGGGGTTGCCAAGGAGACTGATTGTACCAGAAGGGCTTTTGGGATCCTGAAATGATCAACTGGAGGTCCCTACCTTGCCTCCCAGTGAGCTCTGCATGGGCGCTGTCCCCGAGCCAGTGCAGGCTGGGCACAGGGCAGGTAGCAAGATCTCAGGCCGGAGGGGTCACCTCACCCCATGATCTCCCTCTCCCTTCGCTTGTATCCCTCTTAAGACTCTTGTCACTGTCTGCCTGGTCGGACAGCTCCATGGAGAGGCTGTGTCGCTCATGAAACTTTGAGTCCCATGTAAGCAGGGCAGGCACCCTCTTCCTCTGCATATTGATTTGCTCACTCATTCATTCATTCCTTCAACAAGTGTTTACTGAGCACCACCGTGAGCCATGCCTGTGCAGACACACAATTCCTCAGTGTTTGGAAAGTCAAGGGGGTTTGGCGGATGCACGTTCCGTGCAAAACTGCGTGTGGAGCCCCTGCTCCGTGGCAGCCGTACGGGGCTGCAGGACGGAAGCGTCTGCAAAGGGGCCCTGGGATCTGGAGTGAGAAGGGTTGAGAGTTGCACGGGGTTGGGGCAGGGGCTGCAGCCTCAGGTCAGGGTCCCAGCAGGTCCCTCTCCCTTTGTGGTTTACATATTCAAGTGCCTTCCACGTCTCCTTCCCCACTGGATTTTCCAGTCACCAAGTAGGGACAAGGGCAGACCAGGGACACCACTCCCCACTCAGCAGGTAGCCACAGCGCCGGGCCCGGGACGATCACCTGGTCTGCAGCGAGTCTCTCCACCCCCTCAGCGTCTCCGGGAGCAGCTTGGCTTCCACCTCCCTCATCTTGCCCAGGTCAGGGAGGACGAGGAGCGCGCTGGCGTTGCCTGTGTACATCAGCTCCGCGACTGCGCAGGACAGCGCCTTGTCCCAGAAGTAGGGCACGTCCAGGTCCTCCATGCTCATCATGGGCACCTTCACCCACTTCCTCCTGCTCAGGTAGAATCTTGCCTTGACAGTGTCGTGGGGGTCAAAGGGCGTCTTCCACTTGGCTAGAGGTGGAGCCAGGAGTGGGAGAACCGTGTGAGTGCCAGGGTGGCCCTGCCTCGACCCCCACGACGCCTGGCTCCCCCAGTGGGGCGGCCTGCCTTGGTTTGGAAAATGTTAGGGTGAACACGTGGGTAAGTGGGAAAGTCCTGGGGATGAGGGGGTGCCTGTGGCTGGACCGGAAAGGGGACCCTGAAACCACAGCCTGGAAACCTGTGCTGAATGAGGAACGAACAGGAGTCTGGGATGGGGAGTGCGAGAGACAGAGCAGTAGGAGAGCAGGGAAGAAGCGTGGGGATGGTCGGAAGGCAGAGCCTGGGAAGACATGGGCCACCCTGGTTCCCAGAGAGTAACAGTGTGTTGCAAGCAATAGTTGGTCACTAGCATAGCAGGGATGTGACTATACGTGGCTTGTGGGGGTGGTTTGGGTGGACATGGGAGGAAAGAGGGTTGCACATGTGAGTTGCGAGGTGCAGACAGAAGGAAGTGCCCATCTATGTGAATGATGGGAGGGGCAGGGAGGTCCCTAATGGCAGGCAGAACCTGGAGCCAGAGTGACCATGTGCACTTGTGACATCTGGAAGGGGGGAGTATGGGACATCCCAAAAGCCATGGACTGAGAGGTGCTGGCTGTGAGTCCTCAGTTCATGGCGGGTCACGCCGAGCTCTATGGCCTGTGAACATCCAGCTCAGACTCGCCCTGGGTTCTGCGTCGGCCTGGCCTGGCCTCGCTCCTGGGCTTCACTTCACTCTGGCTCCGGAGCCCGCCATGCTTTTACCCTTGCAAAGGTGAAACTCCATGAAACTGCCTCCAGCTACAGTAAACATGAAACACAGCCCAACCTGGGAGTGATCTGAAAGGGGAGCTCCTGCCTCCTGCTTGCTGGGCAAGTTTAAATCCGAATGAAAAGCAACGCACTGACTCACACCCAGGGCCAGCGGGCTCCCTGAACTCATGTCCTGGGACGACAGACTGTAGCTTGGAAACCCCCACGGGAGAACACGATGCCTGTGGGCAGGGCGGGGTGATGGTGCCCCCACCCCCAAGCCGTGGGCACCTTCCTCTGCAGTGGGTTGCCTAGTAACACTGACCCGGGGCAGAAATAGCCCGGAGACTCGGAACCACATGTCCATTTCCTTCTGAACCTCACGCCGGACACTCACCTTTAAAGAAGATGTAGTTCACCAGCACCATCATCGTGCTCGGGTCAAGGTCCTTGACCAGATCTACGATTTTCCCCTGGGTTTTCTTCTCCACGTAGTCATTGATGAACTTCTCGGCAGCGGCAGAGTCCTGGAAGTTGGTTTTGAAGGCCTTGGAGGCGTACAGCCCCTGGGCGTCCTCCACGAACCTGTCCCGCAGACGCAGCTGCTCCGCGATGAACATGGCGTTGCCCGTGCTCAGCTGCAGCTGCTCTCTGGGCCGGCTGAGGCTGCGCAGGAGCTGCTGGAAACTCTGGTGAATTTCCGCCTCTGAGGTCTCCGTGAGGTTGAACTTGAGGCCTTGGAGAAGCTCCGTCAGGGTGGTGCCACCGGCCCCCAGGGACAGGAAGGCCAAGGCTACAGAGACGCTCAGTGGGGAGAAGATGACATTCTTATTAGGGTTCTGCAAAGCCAACTGCTTGTAGAGGCTGAAGGCAAAGTCTGTGTCGCTAGAGCCTAATCGGAGACTATCCCCTCTCGTCCCATTGGCGTGGTCCCCCAGGGTCACACTCTCCTGGTCAGGGGTGCCGCCTGGGTGGCAGAGGACAGCAGGGCAGACCCCGGCCACCAAGAGCCCCAGAGCCAGGAGGGGTAACATTTTCTGCACTCTCCACTCTGAAAAGACAAGAACCGTTAAGTCTCAGAGGGCAGCTGGTGCTCCGTCCCCCTCCCAACCAGACCTTGTCCTCCTCCCACTCTTCCTCCTCCTGCTACTACTCCTCTTCCTCCGCTACCAAGTGCTGAGCAGACCTTAGTCAGGGAGGTAGAAAACAGGCCTCCTCTTCCCCTACACCCTTCTCTTGAAGCAGAACCCAGGAAAGGAGTCCTGGCCCGAGTCAGAGGCCAGAGCATGTGTCCCAGCCTCCAGATGACACGTGTGGCCATGTGAGGCCTGGTGACAGTGAAGGTTCACTGAGGGGGCACAGAGGTGGCCGGTGCAGTGCCTGGAGCTTAGATGATCCTGAATGAGAGGGGCAGGTTTTCACTTCCATCGTGAGCCTGGAAGGTTCTCGTGGTAGGGAGAAGGCAGAGTGAGCTTCAGAGTCTCTGAGACCTAGACTGGGATTTCATTTTGGCCACACATGGTCACAGTGTGGTGGCAATCAGGTGACGGAACCTCTCTGAGCCTCAGGGCCCATCTCAACAGGACACGCTGAGTGGCTCAGATGAGGTAAGTGATGAAGGCGCCTGGCTCCTAGGAGGTGTTCCAGAGGGTCACCTCCTCCCACCCTCCCCCACCCTCCTGTGCCTGAAACCACAAGCCAGAGTGCACGGTCAGCTGTGTAACAACAGCAGGACAGTACCTATTCCCACTGTTTCCCCAGTGATGGATAACGATCAGTCCTACCCGTTCTCTCAGTAATCGCCCCTGCAGGAGTTCTGTTTGTTGTGGACCACTTCTGAAAAGAGCCCAAAGGATGGAAAAGACATGTTAATCTCTCTCTTTCAAATGTTTTTTTTTTTTTTTTTTGAGAATTTTCTTTTACAGAGTTCTTAAGTAAACAGCATGATAAGGAGCTACAGGCTTAGCCACATGTCCTGTGATAACCCCTCTCCAAGGACAGCAGGAATCCAAGTCTTGGACTTTGGAATCCTTGCTATTTCTATTATCTATCTGCTGCCCCTTTTGTTACCAACTGACAGCAATGCTGTTTATTCTCATCTTCCCCATTAAAATCAGCCAGCCACCTGGGCTTGCTGCTGCCATCTCCCTTCTGTTCCTTTGGGACGCCCACTGTGTCCTGTTCTCTGTCTCTTCCTCGCTCTTTCTCTCTGTCCATTTAACTCTCTCCTTCTCTCCATAATTCTTTGAAGATAAACTTCTTTTGCTCCTATATCTTAATTTCTGTGTGAGAAATCTTTCTCCATGCACGCCATGGGCACCTACCTACTAGCCTTTCCACCCTGGCAAGAGGAGGGGCTCAAGCCACCTCAGGGGGTCTGGGAGGCACACGGGGTGACTTCCGCTCTGTCTGCGCCCCTCAGTCCCAGGATTCAGAGAAAAGGGGCAGCTCGGGTGTTGGGGAGGAGAGAGGGGGAGAGAAGAAGGGAAAACAGGGGAAGAAGGAGGGAGAGGACACAAGCGGACAGGACAGGACAGGACAGGTGGGCCAGGGGGAGGAGGGTAGATGAGAGGGGGAGGAGAACACAGGAGAGGGAGGGGACAGGGGGAGAAGAGGAGATAGGGGAGGAGGAGCCCCATGCAAAGGCTTCCAACAGCCCAGGGCACAGGCAGCCTGGTTACCTCAACTATTTGTTTATTCTCAGGATGATGCAACTATTTCCTTGGGAAGGCACTGAACAATATTCTTCTCCAAAATCATTACCAGGGAAAAAGGCATGTCCGTTCTGCCTGGCAAGTTGTAGGACTGGCTCTGTCTGTGAGCCATCTGTCTTTCCAGTAACTGGGTAAAGGCGCAGGCTGTCTGTCTGCTGGGCCAGGCACCTTGCTGGGGAAGGGAGCCGCCCAGGCAGCCCCATTTAGACCCCAAATCACAGTGGGCCCCGCTGCCTCTGCTGAGAGGGACCCACCGCAGTAATGTCATCAGCAGCGTGGTCTGAGAGCTGCGCCCCGAGCCAGGCCCCAGGACAGCACCTCTTCCCCATGAGGGTTGGAGACACAGCTGAGTTGAACCAGAATCCAAAAGTGTCAGAGGCAAAAATGACCCTAGCGGCCCCCATGGCACCCCCGCCATCCACCATTGGCAATCAGGCAAACTCAGACATAGAGAGAGGACTTCCTTAGGAGGCACCATTGTGGCAGTGCCTGTGGAGTCCATGGCAACCCAGGACAGCCCCTGACTCCCAGCCCAGAGCTCTGAGCGCACCTGCTCCTGGCCCGTCCTGCCCCACACAGCCTAGAACTCTCCTGGGAAAACGGGTCCGTCTGCTCCCTGCGTGAAGCGTCACGGGTTACCTGCCTCAGGCAGCGGCTGTAGCTGGTGGATCGCAGAGTGGCGCCTGGAGTCCACGGGCTGTCCACGAGGGCTGATGCTTATTTATCCCCCGAAGGACTCCTCCCCCTGCTTGGGAAACTCCACCAGGACAACTAGTGGTTTGTTCTCAGCCTGGAAAGGGTCAGATGATAAGTTCTGGTAATGTGGATGTAATTACATCTACTCCAACAACCTGGTTACAAATTCTTTTCCAAAGAAGTAAAACAACCAAACCACACCTTGCCGCATTAGTTTTTCTTTCTCTTTATTGAATACTCATTGGGAAATATGGGAAAATCCAGAAAATATAGAGAAGGGCATTGGAAAACAGAGACTCACAGAGGGCCCCAGCGAGCGTTTTATTGCATTTCTAAGTCCCTTCTCTTGATGTCTGTGTGTGAGTGGGTCTGACAGGAATCTCCACACACACACTCAGATGTACTTCACACATACAGGACCTTTATTTTCCTGTAGCTAAATTCACATTTTGAGCTACATTCTAGGGAGAATTTCCCCAGTTCCCAGAGACTGAGGGATGGTCGCAGGGCCCCCGCCTCCTTCCCTGTGTTCTCTCCAGAGAAGGGGAGGGAGAGGTTGGGGGGTCACAGTGGTATGGGACCCTGGTCCCCATTTTTCTTCGGGGGCCTCCTCTGACTCGACCTTTGTCCGTGGGGCCTTGGCCGGCCATTGGTTCTCCCTGATGGCTGCCGCCCCTCACCCGACCTCAGGTCTCCTCACGTCCCTCTCTTAGCTAACTTCGGCCTTTCTTTGTTCATGGGAAAACTTCCCCTTAATTCCCCGTGGTTACAGCACCCCATCCATGACAGTCCCTGACAGACCTCTGTGCCGAGCAGGATTTGGAAACCGCGGAACCTACGGGAGGTTCTAGCTGAGGCGTGAGGTAGGCCTGACAGGAATGCTGCACGCTCTGCTCTCCTCATGCAAATCGCGGAAATCCCTCAACCTTAAGGTCCTCATGCCTCAGATGCAGAGAACAGTTTGCAGCCGAGGAGTGGTGGCTCATGTCTGTGATCCCAGCACTTTGGGAGGCGGAGACAGAAGGATTGCTTGAGGCCAGGAGTTCGAGACCAGCCTGGGCAACAAAGCAAGACCCTATTTCTACAAAAATACTAAAAAACAATTAGCCAGGCATAATGGCACATGCCTGTAGTCCCAGCTACTGGGAGAGCTGAGGCAGGAGGATCGCTTGAGCCCAGGAGGTGGAGCTTGCGGGGAGCTATGATGACAGCTCTGTACTCTGTACCTGGGTGACAGAGTGAGACCCTTTCTCAACAAACAAACAAAAACAAACAAACAAACCACAACATTACCCTGACAGCGTAGTTATAAAAGCTAAGTGAGACAATACTAAACGTTAGCTCTACCAGAGTAGGATTTTTGTCTGCCTCTTTTGGATGTTGCCGCATCCTTAGAGTCCTTAATAAATATTAGCTGACTGCAAAGCGCTGAGATGACCAGTAAGAATTTGGTCCCATCCTTCCTTAAATGATGACTTATGTCCTTTCAGGCTCCAAGTATTCTCAGAATTGAATACATAATTTTAAGTTACACAGATCCCAAAGACATGGTGGCTAAAACACGATGGAAGCTTATTTCTCTCCCGTGCAATTCCAGTGTGAGGAACTGGAGTGTGAGGCAGTGGTGCCAGGAACCAGGCTCCTTCCTTCCTGTCACTGTGCCATCCGTAGGTGTGTGTTTGCCTGGCCTTAGATCCTCACAGCGGAAGGGCAGGGCACACCCTTTCCTTTAAAGGAATGTCCTAAATGTTGCCAGTGTCATTCCCACTTGTGTTCCACTGGCCGGATCTTGGTCACATGGTCATGCCTAGCTGCAAGGGAGGCTGTGCAAGGCAGTCGGATTCTGCATTACATCCCAGCTATAAATCTGGGGTTCTGCTACCAGGAGAGATTTGAAGGGAATGGACGCTGGGGATGACTGATCCACTTGCCCCAGCATATTACCTGGGTGTTCTCAAGATTTCTAGTCTCAGGAGAGCTATCATTTTCTTACTTGTTTTTCCTGCAAAAGACAAAGTCTCAGTCTGTCACACAGGCTGGGGTGCAGTGGTGCAATCACAGCTCACTGCAGACTCCAACTTCTGGCCTCGAGCCATCCTCCCAAGTAGCTGGGATTAGAGGCGCCTGCCACGTGCCAGCTTCATCATTTCCTTTGCAATGGACCTGACTTAGTCTGAACCTAATGTCAGCCTAATGTGGAGGCAGATTCTTCCCTATCCTCTGCAAGTACTACGGACGGTGCTTGTGGGGAAATGACAAGTCCCAGGTGCCACTTGTCACCTGGAGCTGCAGACTGACGCTGCCAGGCCACATGCACCCCACCCGGGCCATCTCCCAGCCTCTTCTCTGGGCTCCTACAGTCTTCCTTTGTCTTCTTCAGCCCAGGCGCTGGTACTGGCCCTTCCTTCGCTTCTGCAAGCAGTATTGGTACAACGATGGACCCTGTCTTAGTGAACCCTAGGGCCCGATGAGCCCACAGGGAGTTATGACACAGCAAAGCAAAGCAAAGCTAGTAGCAGGTGGCACTGTGCCAGGTCCATGCTCCTTCTCTTTGGATACGTCCCCAGGTGCCTCCTGCCTCCTAGCTGCTGGGCTACAGGACTGCTGGATCCTGCTTGTCTCTCACGTCACGATCCCTTGAGAATATTCTCTTACAGAATCCAGGGTACCCCTCTATATCTGAGCCCCATGAAGGGCAGAAAAAAGGGAATTAGGAGCGTGCTGAGGTCTGAAGAGATGCCCCTGTCCCTGAGGAAGGGAGCTTGACATCCTCGCTAAACTCAAAGTGTGGCTCGGGGACCACCAGCCTCAGCCACAGCAAAGGGGACCTCGTTGGAGAGTCAGATTCTTGGGACCCAGCCCAGGCCCGCTGGTTCAGAATCTGCACCCTACGAATATCGCCAGGGGATCTGTGTGCACCGCAGGCTCGAGAAGTGCTGCCTCGGAAGCCAGGCAGGAGAGCAAATCTCTCCCTGGGACGAGGTGTTTACTTTTGGATTTCCCGCTGTTTTCAGTTTCTGGGCTGAGACTGCCTGCTCCTGCATACCGTAGCTCCCACCCAGGCTCCATTAGAGCACGCCGAGGGCCTGTCCCAGGCAGAGTCAGCTGACCATGCAGATCAAGGAAGTACAGTGGAATCTAAAACAGAACTTATTTTGATCCCTTCAGCACATGCTTGTTAGACATTACCGTGCTTCTTACACACCATGCATGCATTTATTTCTTCTTTTATTGCACTAACCGTTACAGTGTGATTTCATGAGCCAGGCATGATCCCAGGCACTGAGCCTGTGAACCAAATAAATGAGGCCCCTGCTGTCCAGGTGGCCTTGTCTCTGCAGTGCCCTTAATGGAAGGGGGTCGGCCTGCAATCCAAGGGTCTGCAAATTTTTTCGGTAAAGTGCCAGCTAGGAGATATTTTAGACTTTGATGGCCACGTGTGGCCTCTGTTCCTCTTCTCCCCGCTCCTTCTCCTTCTTCTTCACAATCTCTGTGAAATGCACAAAGCCATTCTTAGCTTGTGATACATATAAAAATGTTCTGCAGGATGGATTTGGCCAGTGGGCCTAGTTGGCTGACCCCAGGGAAACCTCCTAAAGCAGCTTTACTGTGAAGGGACCAGATACAAGTGGAGTCAGGAAAAGGGAAAAAATGTCCCTACACTTTCAGTTCGGGCTCACGGCATAGCTCCTGGCCCAGGCGCTGCCCCCAGAGGTTTGGAGTTTGGGTAAATTTCGTTGTTCCCATCCCACCTCTGCACTCCATCTGCGCTACTTGAAATGCAGGGGAGCCCCTTCCTGATTGGAATCTTCCCGTTCTTCCCTCTGTGAAGCCGAGCACTGTGCACTGGTCACCAGGCCCAGGGGAGGACTCCAAAGACCTCTCTGACACCATGCACCTGCGTCACTCCTGGGGGAGGGCTGGAAACACCTTGTTAATTTCTTTCGTCTCCTGGATCTGGCAGGAGGTTTCACACACACCCGGCTGCCAGAGTAGGAGGCTGGTGAGCAGAGCACTTGCACAAGTCATGCAAATCAACTTTGTTACTCACTGACAGGCAGCAACAATCAATGGGGCCTGGGATCCGTGGTGACCCGGTCGTCCAAGGCCCAGGCCAGCTGGCTGAGGTGGATGGCGTCCTGTCTGCATGTGGCCCACCCTGCACTGCAGCTGAGGGACCTGGAAGGCATTCCGCCCTGGGCTTTATATCCCGGGAGCTCCTGGGATCACTGAACTCAGGTGCTGTGGGACATCCTGTTTAGGAAGGACAGGGACTGAGCCCTGGTTCAGTCGTCCTAAGAACTCAGAGTGGGAGGAAGGAGAGCGGTATGGGCCAAGGCCATCTGGGACTTGTCCCCCTGCAACTTCCCTCCCCCAGGACCTCTGATCCTGCTAAACCCTCTGCTCCCTTCCCCACCTTCCCCCTCACCTCCTCGCCCCCTGGCAGTTGTCAAATTGTCATTCACTCATTCAGTCCCATGGGACTCCACTCTGGGCAGGGCCCTACCAAGTGCTGAAAGTTGCACAGGCAGAACATCTGCAAGGGAAAATGCATTTGCATAGGCAACAGGTTTCACAGGCCAAACTCTGATGACTGCCACAGTGTTGCAGAGGCCTGAGTCAGCACACTCAGGTAACCAAGGTGCTACCTCCTATGTGAACCCATGCGATCACCCTGTCCCATGGCATGTTGCCACTGTTGTCAGAGCCATGTAAAAGCGCTCGCATGTTCTCGGCCATGCTCTTCGTCCATGCTGTATCCCCCCCAACAATAAGGAGCAAGTCTCACCTGCCCGCTGCCACTCACCTGTTCAATTACCAAAGCCTGGGCGGGAGCGAGCGCTAGCCACGTAGTCCCTTCCTCACAGGAGGCCTTGCTGTCTTGGCGCTGGTTGCTTGTGGGTGTGTGTAGGGAAGGTTGTTCTCTTTCTGTGGTTGGGGTCTCAGCTGAATGGGAGCTGTGTCTCCATCAGTCACCGTCTCCCCTGAGACCGTGGATGGGCTTGCTCCTCTGGCTTAAAACGGATCCCGGTGGGCAGCACAAGCTGAGCTGGAAGGTTCACCCTGGCTTTGGCAAGGTCAGGGCCAAGGTCTCGGGAGACTATTCCAAAGG